ACATGATCCTATTCTTAGTAGACTAATAATGGTGCTGATGACTGATGTTTCCAGGGTTTAAAAAGTAAACTGAATTTGATAAATACAGACTTTTAGCACATTTACTGTTAAAACATGTGCAAACTTAGAAAAAAAAACAGTGGATAAAGATAAGATAACAAACTGGATGTTTCATGCTATAAATAAAAGTAGCACACCTTGAATGTATCACGCTACCTTGTATGTTAAAGTTTCAAAGAAACTCTAAATTTGAGCTGATGACTTTTAGATACTAACTCTCAGTACTAGCTCCATATCTGTAAAATCGACACACTTGCACAGAAACACATGAAAGGCAGCAGGTTAAAACATTTCCTGACCTAAAAGACTTTATTGTGAATTGACGGGGACATCTAGTGGTAGCATTTGGTACTACATGGTTCACTCTGTTTCTGTCTGCAGGACACGTACACCACTCCACTCACCTCCATCCAGTGCTGGCATGTTCACTGTGAGGAGTGCTGGTTGAGAACGCTGGTATGTCCTCTGACTGATCCTGAGGCACATAAACGTAATAAAACATATTTAGAACATGTCTTTTTTTTCTTCTTTTTTAGGGAGCAAAGAAGTTGTGTCCCCAGTGCAACACCATCACCTCACCTGGAGACCTGAGGCGGGTCTACCTGTAATCCAGTCGCTCACATAAGGAGGAGATTTCCTCAGTTTCAGCCAATCAGAGGTGGGCCTGTGGGCAGCTGGTCTGTRATCCACTCCCACCTTCATGTCGTCCCAGGTTCCTGGTTTGTCAGCACTCACTCCCAGCGTCCTCTAACCACTGGCAACTGAGGACCAGAAAACATGACCTCTGACCTGGACAACACACACGTCTGCTATCAAAGGAAATACAGACTTAAAGCTCAGGCACTAAAAAAAAATAAAACAATTAATAAGAAGAAAGAAAGAAATGCTTCTGGGACCATATTTATCAACATTTATAAATTCTTTTGTCTGATTTATGGGGTGAAATTGTTGAATTCTGAACTGCAAAGCACATGTACAAAGTTTTGTGTATGTACATATATGTATGGATTGATGTGTGTATAAGCTGTTGACTAGCACAACAACCTGCCTGTATTTACTGTACAAACTCCGTCCCTGCTTAGGTCATTTCTTACCCATGTAGCTGTTTTAGGTTGAAAATATTTTTCAGTAATCTCGTCGCATTTTGTCTGTCACCGCTTTCTTTCTTTGTATCTCTTTAATAAATCTACTTTTTAATCAACGTTACTTCCAATAAAACCCATCTGAAGAGTTATTGTTTTGAACCTTCTYGCCGTGATATAAAATGTTGCATGTGTGGATCAGCGGCAGTCATCTTCACAACCTTGTTAGGGTGACTCTGTGAGGTGTAGCCGCTCTTTAAGAAGTGGGTCATGGCAGGATTAGCCCAGTACAGCTCATCTGCAGGTGAGAGACTTTAATACTTGCCATTCTGAGCCTTCACAGAGAGATCACTCAGGGTCGGACATCTAAAAGGTCTGAGCACAGAAGAGAGGAGAAAACTGGAAAATTGGGATGTTTTTCAATTTTCACCCTGAATAAAATGTGAAGATAGAAGAGTGCTTTGTTCTAAGAATAACTTAAAACCTTCAAAACTTGAATACAGATGCTTGTTGGGCTGCAGACCATATCTCAACAGATTATACATTGGTGTCTAATACAGACGTTTAGTAATAATTACTGCTCCAAACAGCCCGTCAGTTTGCTTGTAAAACCTCAATCAGAAAAAAAATTATTGAACCTAAACAGTAAAATATGATTGTTTATAAAAAAATCTTTCTCTCTCGAGCTGAAGAACACAGTCAAGCATGCAGGAGGCTGGTCAATGAGCTAAACACACGAGGTAATTCAGACTGACAGTGGTTTAATGTGACACACAAACAGACACACACTTGGACCGCACACGGTGCGTTAAGAAGCCTCACTGACGAATCATTTGATCCTGAACTTCTCAGCAGCAAAGACGCAGATACTGAGCAAAGGTAAGTTGTTTTTTTAATCAACTCTTCAAACTTGAGATAATAAATCAGGATTTTTTTGAATTTGAATGCTTG